ACAAGCTTTCATCTATCCCCAGACTGGAGTTTCTTTAGCCATGACCTTTCTTCCTTCAAAAATTGATAAATGGGTACCACTCTGTTAGAAGAAGAGTGAAAACCAAACTCTATCTTTGCCACAGAGCTTCTGTCGAGTTTGACTTTAAAATAAGACCTACAGGTAATGAACATCAGCGCTACACCATTAATTTCTTGAAAAAAGGGAGCTAGAGGTGACATTATCATAAAGTATAAAAAAGAACGTGTAATCACAAACTTTCTGCTTTATCCTTTCTAGCAACTATGAACAAAGTAACGGTGAGATCTGCGTTGAAAGACATTTTGAAACAGTTAACCGCTTCATAAATTTACACGCAAAATTCGAGGCTTCCAGAATTTGTCAAACAGGCGAAGAACGATACCAAAGTGATACTACTCTCCTCTGTTAGCTAACATGGACTGCATGCAGCTTTTAATTGAGAATTTTGCATCGCCATGAATTTAAATATCCTTAAGCCTGAGCCTTGCAATCGGTGACAAGCGTATGTGAGATAAAGTTCTTTCCTTGAAGCAGAAAAACCTAGAATTACGGGTTACCAGACACGGGTGCAATGGACGAGAAATTGTACTTAACCAATGATAATACTCGTTCCTGAAATGTTGATTTTCTTAATCCTTGAATAAAGGAGAATAAATGAAAAATATTGGTAAACATCAGTCTTGAGGTAATTGCAATATTTTTTAAACCGAACATTAAGTTCAATTCCGTCTTAACCTTTTATTGCATAACTTTAATTTCCACCTTAGTCAATCCCGGACGATAATTAGACGTGACATTCAGCGGGATGACTTTATGAATTCGGATAGCTGAACAACACGTCAGATTTTCCATACTTTCTTTCTCGACAGAACATAAAGGATGCCCCTTTTTCTCCTGATACCATTATTAAACCATTGATCAGACTTTTCATTTCTCTTCTCATGAGCGGATAGTTTATGGTGAGAAAGAGATGGCATGGATAAATTGTTTCAAGGCACTGATATGGGAAGCGCTTTCCAGGCCATTTGAAACATTTTCTTACAAGGCTTGCTCAGTTAGAGGAATGTCTCCCTCAGAGCCGAGAGGTCACGAGTTCAAACTACGGTCAGTTTACCTCGCCTTCCTAGGTTGATAAATATGCGTCATCTTGTGAAAAGGAAATTGGAGTGTTCGCACTACGTAGCTGCTCTCGACTGTGCGTTTTAAATAAGGAACCCTGTCTGACAGAATAAAACGGAAATGAGAGTCTCAGTGTAAAGAAGAGAGGCAAAAAATGGCCTTATCATAAAGATATACTGAAGACAATCATTCGGAAGATTACATTCTGGGCTTCTTTTTTCTTTCCTTCCGGGAATATATTCAGAGTATTACATTTTAATAAAAATTTACCGTTTTCATTATTCAACCAATGCAAGAGTGCCTTAGCTTCCTAAATGATACGCAGAAAATTTAACGCTTCCTTATGTTTATCATCAGGCAATAGATAACGAAAGCAATAAATGGGGATGTTACACCATACTTACGCAGGTGAAAATGCCATTTTCCTCTCAGAGAGCAAATGACATGCGAACAATCATGCAACTCGGGAACACTTATTGACGTCTCTAATTCCTGTTGCCTACAATTCGAATATCATTCTCCATCGAGATTTACTGTAATATCACAATGACATCTGCCATACTGTCTCAATGCCATTCGTATATTCTCATTGGCCGAATTTTTAGGGCGTATGAGAAGCGTTCGCTGTTATCGACTCAGAAGTGACTGCTATCCTTTAGCCATCTCCTGTTATCTATCATGTACAGAGCGAGGTTGCTGCAGTGAAGGTTAACCGATTATATCCATTTTGCAATACACTAAATGAAAATAACGCAGCCAATCGTTTACGGTGATGTATGATTCATCATCATCATTATCATCATTATCATCATCATCATCATCATCATCATCATCTTCCATTGCCGCTTCTCCTTTCGGGCTGCGGAGGCAGATGCGTCAGACAGTGCTTCCAACGTTCCCGATCCTGTGCCAGGGTCTGAGCTTCAGCAAAAGACAAACGGAGTCTGGAACAGACAGGTTAATCTTGGCCGTCCCCTGGGCCTTTTGCCGGTCGGATTTGTAAGGAACAGTTGCTTAGCTTTCCTTTCTGGAGGCATTCGCAACACATGCCCTTCTCGATCTGGAGAAGCAAAGGCTGCTGATGTATGATTTTCATGCATAATTCAGGTCGTTAGAGGTTGCACAAATTAATTAACGTGTTACTACATACTTGGGTGAGAATGTGGATTTTTTTATTTCAGTTTTAATACTCTCCAGTCATTCTTTGCATCATATAGAACATGGAGAGGCTCTTTCAAATAAGTTAAGATGTACGGATCTGATGCAAAGAATTGAATTTAACTGATTATGAATTGAATAGCAAAACCCAGTGACAGCACTGTTGCATGAGGCATGCACATCGTGATTTAATGAGGATGCTGTCGAATCTCATGATATCATATGTTACCCAAAGCCGGCCAAGGAATGTAGGCCATTGCCCTATCAAACCATTAACTGCAATTTCAATTGTTCTGAACACAAGGAAACAGACCGATGGCATTCTTCATTACAGCTGCTGACGTTTCAGCGAAACTACATCAGCCTTCTTCGGAGCAAACAAATGAGTTTTCTAAATTAGCAGCGCCATATCATTTGTTTATTTCTGACGCTTATAGTCAGGCTGAGGGCAATGAGCAAGAAGGTAATGGATAACGGTTAACCAAATTATAATTATTTAGCGCAGGACTCTCCCAGCCTTTGCACTGTGTTCCTTTATATAATAGTATGTATTAAGAGCGCGAATACGACAGTTAAGTATAAATGAAAGGAGGAAATGGAAAACAGTAATTTGAAGAACTATGTACATAATGTTTATAATAATAGATTCAATGCGGAAGAAAATTTGATAGCTGATTTCATCACTGATACGGTCAGCACCATGATAAAGAGTTCATGGAAGGAATGAATCTACGGCAGTAAGAGTGGACAGACTCTGCGTAGACAGTCTTGGTTTTGCGAATGACATCCTATTGCATGCCGGCAACTTCGAAGCTGTGATGTCACTGTTCTTTACTCTGAAGCAGAGGTATCTCGAGTTGGGGCTCTCGATGAGGTCAAAGAGGACGAAGTGAGGGAAATTTCTAGAATTCACAGTAATGTTTATGGAACCGCTGACACCGAATTTCTGGAAATGGTATAGAACATCTGTATCATTGGTAAACATTGACTACTGATGGGCAAGTGACAAAAATAGTTAAGAAGCGGTATGTTTTGGCATTAGCACCGAGTTATTCAAGCTCTGGAAAGAAAAACTGTTCACAGTTGCACAAGGCTGGGAATATAAAGGCCTTGCATCTTGAGCACCTTGCTCTATGGCTTGGAGGCAGCACTTGACTCGGCAAATTTGAAAAAGTTAATATAAAGAGAAAAATGAAGATTTTCAAATTGGTATTAGGATTGAAGTAGTACGATCCGGCCTCGAACGCATTTGTAAGAGCAAAGTGAGGGTATGCAATTAAAGTGACAGATTGGCTTCAGACAAGGCATCTGAGGAGGCAACATCACCGCCAACGAATTTATGATATCTAATGCAAAATGAATACCAAACGTAAGGCCAGATGGTAGACGGTTGTATGTAAGTCTTCAACAGATTGGGACGATTTCGTCAGAACTGGCATGTCATCGTAAGGACTAAGGAGTGAGAATTATTCAATCTAGGTTAAATTCTTATACGGTACCAAAATCCGAATGAGATAGGAAGAAGGCACGAAAGACATTTTAATCTAGTTGCGGAGGTTGCACCTCAGATCAACCTTTAGGTTACATTCAAAATGTTTATCCTCTCGAGTGCATGGTAGATCCATGGTTTCGCACTTAATATGAGGTGATGGCATCTTTATAATTAGCAGAGGCTTGTGGTGCGTTGCGGGCGTTTAGAGGGTTGTTTTTGTTGAAACAATTTCAATTAAAATTGATATCTCATTAGGCTATTTCAGCTGTCGTGTCGATTCAGTGCAGCTATCGGTCGATAACTGGGACGAGTTGTTATTTTGAATGACGATCATCGCTTGGTGTGATGCGCAGCTCGGTTAGCCACGACCGAACAGGCGATTATTAGATTTCATCACGCTCGAAGATGTGCGCAAGGCATAATAAAATTCCTGCTGCGTCATAGTGTATTAATTACTTTTAAGCCCTACGGAAACGCGTCACCTTATAAATTAGCCGAAACTCATAGACTTGTTACCATAAGCGTTTTCGGTGATCGTTGAGAGGCTCACCAACTTACGAAACAGGAAGGTGATCGCACAACGAAGAGCACCAGCGTCGAACGCCTCGTTCCCTAAGCTGAGATCGACAACCAAATTCATGGACTTCGCGCCTGTGCTCGTGGCTCTGCTTCTCTGCTCCATGTCATTATCCGTGACGAGGGCAATCGACTGCCGGTACGGAGGAAAATCTTCTTTCTTTTCTTGCCACTTTGGCGGAGGCACTACTGGGCTGGTTTAACAATAACTGTTGTTTTAAGGAAGTATGCGTTTGCTCCTCGGTGTCGTGGTATCGTCCTGAAACGAGAGGAACAACCTCCGCAAACGTTTGAGCCGGTTCTGGATAGCGATATCGAGGAAGCAATGGATAAAGCCTGGGAAAAGTAAGCAAATTCGTTCACAAAGATTTATAGACTGTTAAATATCATATTTGCACAAGAAGCAAAATATTTTTTCAAGTAATATCAAAGTTATATTTAGCTTCGTTACGTTTCAAGAATATGAACTGATTTAAGAACATGTAGACTGAATACCTCTGGTACCCTAGCCGTTACAGTATCAGGGAATGAAAGCAAACCGCCGGTTGCACATCACAACCTTTTGCTGCTTCTCTTTATTATGCCCGTGTTTTAAAGATCAAGTAACCATTAAGCGAAGAGTTCGCTTGCCGAGCAGAGTACGGTAGAATGTCAGCCACAGCAGCGTCTAAGGTTGGTCTTAAAATTGACCACGTTCAGTTGCAGGATTCAAATAAGCGAACGTTTTTTGCTGACTGTATTCTGTCACAAACTGGATGAAACGAGATGAGCCTTACAAAAGTTAGTCTCTGGCTACATGGCAAAATAATGGAGCTGATCCACGATTTGTGAATTTCCTCAGCCCCTTATTCAAACATATTCCCTTAACCCCTAATAGATCTTGTCATTGTCTTTGCTTTGATTTACTTAATGGCTATAACACCGCTTCACTTCTTGGATCGCTTGTACGGCCGAATCATAGGCGACGAATTGCGCCTGCTGCAACAACTCGTTGTTCCTTGTGGTGTTCAGCCTTCACCCCCCAGGCGCGGCCTTCTCGGTTCCTGAGAAACTCGTAGGGGGAGGGGGCAAATAAGCGACCTAATCGTCCGCCCGCGAGGATATCAGTCGACGAGCAACATTTGACGCTGGTGATGTAAGCTTAGTGCACTGTGGCTTTTCTGCTTTCGATTGCATTCTCCGTCATTTTCGTCCTTTGTCTGATCACCGTGTTTCGGACACGGTGGTGACGTGAGATTTTTAACGTTGTTATATCCATGGTTCTCTATGACAACGATACTTGGGGTTCTTGTTCCTTAGTGAGTGACCACATTTTATAACCACGCAGGTGAGTGCAGAAGAACTTTTTATTGACGTTTCCGGAGATGACGTCCTTGAGGTGCCAACCGACCCCTTCTCTTTGTCGAGTTT